TTATTTTATTTTATTTTATTTTATTTTATTTTATTTTATTTTATTTTATTGAGGCAGATTCTTTGTCACCCAAGCTAGAGTGCAGTGATGCAGTCTCAGCCCACTGCAACCTCCACCTCCTGGATTCAAGCGATTCTTGTACCTCAGCCTCCTGAGTAGCTGGGGTTACAAGCGTGCACCATCACGCCTGGTTAATTTTTGTATTTTTAGTAGAGATGGAGTTTCACCATGTTCGCCAGGCTGGTCTGGAACTCTTGACCTCAAGTGATCCACCCCCTCTTGACCTCCCAAAGTACTGGGATTACAGGCATGAGCCACCGTGCCCGGCCTACAAAAAAATTTTTTTTTAATTATCCAGGCATGGTGGTGTGCACCTTTAGTCCCAGCTACTCAGGAGGCTGAGGTGGGAAGATAGATCGAGTCTGGGAGGCGAGGCTGCAGTGAACCATGATCAAGCCACTGCACTCCAGGCTGGGCAACAGAGCAAGACGGTGTCTCAAAAAAAAAAAAAAAAAAAGAGAGAAAGGGAGGGAGGGAACACTGGCAGTAATATAGAGGACATGTTTGAATGGCAGGAGTACTAGAGCAAAAGAGAGCAGTTGCAGGGCTAGTACAGGAGTCCAGGTGAGGCAGTGACAGTGGGAATTAACCCTCTTGTAGGAGTTGCCTCTGATCTTTTTGTTGCATAATATGATGATCTGTTCTCCAGTCTCTTCTTACTCGGTGTATCAGCAGCATTTGACAGTTTCCCTCCTTCCTGAAGCACTTCCTGCGTTTGGCTTTTGGACACCTACTACATTGGTTCTCCATCTGCCTCTCCTTCTCCATCTCCTTTACAAGTTCCTCCTCAAGTTCGCAATACTTATTCAGCAGAATGCCCCAGATCTCAACCTTCGAACCTCTCCCCACCATCTGTAGTCACTGCCAGGTGATCCTACCCAGTGGAATGACTTCAAGCATTGAATTCTAAAATCGTATCTTCAGCCCACATCTTCTTTCCTCAACTCCACAGACTACTCATAGGATGCCTCACAGGTTAACATGTTCAAAACACAGCTTCTGATCTCACCCTACACTGCCCTCACAAACATCGCCTTGCTCCCAGTAAATGGTACTCTCATGCAATAGGAGTTGAGGCCAAAAACCTTGGAGCTCATCATGACTCCTCTCATGACCATGTTCGTTCCATCAGTAAGACCGCCCTTCAAACCTTTATCCAAAATCAGACCCTTTTTTACCACCTCCAACAGCACAGGCCCTGGTCAAGCCACCGCCATTTCTGTCTAGGTTATTGCAATGACTTCAAGCCTGTTCCTTATCCTGCCTCTCTTTGACGCTTGCCTGTCTCAAGTCTGAGTCAGACTGATTCTCTGACACCGCACTGTCCAGTGTCATAGCCAATAGCCACATCAGCCCTTGAAATGTGGCTGCTGGACTGGAAGAACGGAATTTTACATTTTATTTTAATTAACTTAAATAGCCCCATCTTGTTAGTAGTCACTGTGTAGACAGCACAGATGTAGAACATGTCAGCATTGCAGGAAGTTCTGCACAGCACTGTTCTAAAACAAAAGGCAGGTCGTGTTACTGTTGCACCAGGAATCCCCTCGTGGCTGGTTCTCTCACTGAGAATGCAAAGCAGAAGCACAGTCTTTACTCTGGTCTTCGAGGTTCCTGTTGATCCCACCTCCCCACAAGTACAGGCCACTTTCTCATACCTTCATGCTGCTCCAGCCAAGTGGCCCCCACACACCAAGCATACTCTTAGAACACTGTTCCCAGATGGCAGCATGGCTCAGCCTTTGTCTCCTTCAGCTCCCCGCTTCACTGCCACCTTCCCTAGAAGCTTTCTCAGGGCAGCTACGTACAGTGTGCCGCCTGCCCTATCACTGTCTCTCCCCGCTTGCTCCTTGTCTTTCTCCCTCTCTGCCCTGCCCCGAGGAGTGTAATAAGCTTTACAGCGACAGGGTCTGGGCCTGCTGTGTTCACCACTGGAGCTTGAGCATCAATAGCTGTGCAGGGCATGTATTTTGAGCTCCGTGACTATATATCGAGTTATGGGAAGATACATATCAGAATGATTTCAAAAGTGGAATTGTTGGGAAGGTTGCAGTTAACTTCGTGTGAGAGAACTGGGTGCTGTGGATCTGTGTATGACCAAAGTGTCTGCTCTACCCAAAAAAGAAAAGTATTTGTGTTCCCTCCACTTTTGA